TTTTATCACTTAATTGTAGAAACTGTCAAATTTCTTCTTTAATTACATCTGTGACCCATTGGTCATTCAGGAGGATATTATTTAATTTCTATGTGCTTATGAATTTTTTGTGGTTTCTCTGCTATTGATTTCCAACTGCATTACACTGTGGTCTGATGATATGCATGGGATAACTTCAGTTTTTTTGCACTTACTTAGGCATCTTTTATGAGCTAGTAAGTGGTCTATTTTGAAGAGTGTCCCATGTGCAGCTGAGAAGAATGTCTATTCTGATGTTGTGGGGTGAAACACTCTGTAGACATCTACTAAGTGCATGTGCTCAAAATTTGGTTCAGTTCTGATTTGTTGATTTTTTTGCCTATCAGTTGATTTTTTTTTGTCCATTTCTGACTGTTTGGTATTGATATCCAACATTATAAATGTATTAGCTTTTATTTGATTTTTCATGTCCAAAGTAACAAAGCAAATAAATGAGGCTCTAGAGAAAAACACATCAGAAATAATTTCTCACATAACTTCAGAGATGATGACCAAAATTAAGGGGGATCATTAGTGAATCTAGAGAAGATACAGATACAGATGAAAAATAGAGGATGCCCTTATATTTGGTGCATAGATGAATTTTTATCTCTTCCTCTTGGGTTGTTCCCTTAAAAAGGATGTTGTGACCTTCTTTGTCTCTCTTGATCAGTCCTGGCTTGAAATCCACTTTGTCTGTGAATAGAAAAGCTACCCTTGCTTTTTTCCCAGGTTCCTGTCACATGGAGTATCGTTTTTCATCCTTTAACTTTCAATCTATGAATTTCTTTTTCAGTTAAAAAAATGTGTTTCTTGTAGGCAGCATATTGTTGGATTGTGTTTCTTAATCCATTCTTCCAGTCTGTTTCTTTTGATTGGTGAATTGAGACTATTTACATTGATGCTTATAACTGATATGTATTGGCTTATCTTTGTCATGTTATTTTCCTATTGTTGGTTCCCTTTCTTTTCCCTCTGTTTAATTAGTTGCTTTGCCTAGTGGATTCATTCTGTTGGGTTTCATAGAGTTGCAGTCTTCATTATTTCTTTCTAGACTGTCCTTCAGAAAATTTTGGAGTGCTGGTTTGGTGGTCATGAATTTCTTCAGGTCTTCTTTGTCCTGAAGTACTGTATTTCTCCATCAATTTTGAAAGATAGTTTTTTTTTTTTGTACCAGGGATTGAACTAGGGTCCTTGTGCTTGTGCAGCAGGGAGCAAAACCACTGAGCTAAATCTCCGACCTTTGAAAGATAGTTTTGCAGGGTACATCAATTTGAGTTTGAGGTTGTTTCCTTTTTTTTCTTTTGTACTGGGGATCAAACTCAGGACCTTGTGCTTGCAAGGCAGGCGCCATGCTGCTGAGCTAAATCCCTGGCCCTGGAGGTTGTTTTCTTTCAGGTCTTGAAATACTTCACTCCAAGATCTCCTTGGCTTAAGGGTTTGTGTTGAGAAGTCTGCTGAAATCCTGATGGGATTTCCTTTATAGGTGATTTGTTTCTTTTCTCTAACAGCTTTCAATATTCTGTTCTTATCTTCAGTTCTGGAATGTTGACTATTATATGCATTGGGGTAGATTTTCCTTTGATCATGGCTAATTGGAGTTCTATATCCTCACTTATCTGTATGTCAAATTCTTTTTCTATGCTTGGGAAGCTTTCTGCCATTCCTTCCATGAACAGGTTTTTCACACACTATCTCCTGCTTTTTCAATGACTCTGATCAATATTGTTATTCTTCTTTACATCATCTACAAACTGTTTGATTCATTTATTGTGATCCTTTGCTATTTTAAAAAAAATCTTTCTTTTCATGATCGCTAACCAAAATCCTGTCTTTTAGATCTAATATTCTGTCCTCACATTGGTTCATTCTGCTGCGTATACTTTCAATAGAATTTTTAATCTCCTATATATCTGATTGAATCTGACTCATGGATTCCATTTCTTTCCTATGTTGGGCATTCATGGTTTCCACCATTTTCCTAAGCTCCTGTATTTTTTTTTATACCAGGGATCAAACTCAGGATCTTTTGGTTGCAAGGCACATGGCGGCACCACTGAGCTAAATCCCTGGCCCCACTCCTCTATTTTTTATCTGTATCTTCTCTAGATTCACTATTGATGCCCTTGATTTTGGTCATCATCTCTGAAGTTTTCAGAGAAATTATTTCTGATTTGATTTTTTTCTAGAGCCTCATTTATTTGGTTTGTTACTTCTGCTGTTACCACTTCAGAGAGTCCAGGTTTCAAATTGTTCCTCCTCATTGCCCCCTGGGATTGCCTTTGACAAGCTGGAAGTCTGAGGTGGCATCTGGGGTTGCATCTTGCTGAAATGTCTTCTCATTTTCTTTTCTTTTTTTTTAGTTTAATTTCTGTGTTGATGCTTGTAAATTGTTTATGGTAGATATCCTTATTGCTAGTATTGAGAACCCTTAGGAAATGACTACTTCTTGAAAATATCTTCCACATGTAGCTGGCTTTTGGGTTTTGAATCTATCACAAGATCCTACCTCTTTAAGTTATTTGGAGTGTGAAATTGATGCCTATTTGGTCTAGCCTCTTGTTCTTTAGCCCTAGACTATGACATTGTTTATGACCCTCAGGCAATCCCAGTCTTGGCATACAGCTAATTAGAACAATTATGTCACCTTGGCTAAGGTGGTACAATCATTACTAATAACAGCATGAGACACACCCCAGAAAATGACAAACTGTGCTAAGTAATAATTTGCCACCTTTAACTATAACAGGATTTGTGGTTATACAACAAAAGCTAAAACAAATCAGAAAATTGTGTACAATAAATTTTCTCTCAATATGGTGATTTTACCCTCAGGGGAGAAAATTTCAAAGGAATTAGGGGGAAAACAGAGAAATAGAAGAAGAGAAAGGGATTAGCACCAAGGCTGGATGACAAAAGAAGATTACACAAGGTTTGGGAACTTGTGAAGAAGACTGGAGGGAAAGATAGAAGGAAGAAACACAAACAAGAACAGAACTACTAAAAAAATCTAGAAACAATGTTTTCATTCATATAAAAATAACAAACAGTCAAGAAAAACAGGAAAAAATAGAAAAAAAAGAAAAAGAGGAAAAAATAGAAAAAAAATGAAACAGCAAAGATAGGAAGAAAAACAGATGTAATAATGTCCACTTCAGGGTGTTTCTCTGCTATTTCTTGCCAATTGAGAGAGGGGATATACAGAGCCTAGATCTGTGTTAATTGATCCCAGTAAGCCAACAGTAGAATTATGGAGGTGGTGGATAATCCCAGCCATCCTAGGCCTTTAGTTCCATTGAAGTTCAGGCTGCTTCTGCTCTCTGCCTGTGAGGCTGTGACCTGTGTTTTTCAGCCAGCAACACTGAGTGCCTCCTGCTTACTTGAACTGTACTTATGTTTCAAAATATGTAATAAAATGATAGATAGTAAGACTGATGACCAAAAATCTTTTAAGAGCTCTAAAATGATTTTCCACTCTTTATTCCTCTCAATAGAGTACACATTTTAAGAAAACAGAGACATTGACTTTTTTATTATTTTATCTTCTGATACTAGCATAATTCTTAACAAATAAATGGACATTTACTAGGTGTGTCATGGTTCAGTGGTTGGAGGGATGCATAGATGGACAGATGGATGCATGAATAGCTAGCTGGACAGAAAGTGTATGCAAGCTAAGCCTAAGAAGTAGCCAGAATTAGGTAGGTTTACTTTGACAAAAATTTCTTAAAACATAGAAACTGAGAAGATATAAAACTCATTACATGAAAGTAATGAATATAATTGGAATATAGAATCATAAAATTCAATAGTCATTTCATTTCATTGTGAATTTCATTGCTTAGAAAAAATACCTGAAAATTTACACATGTGGTTTTTAGAAGATTAAGAATTTAATATTGTGCTTGGTAAAAGTTCTAACCTAAGTTAAAGTTTTTTCTTCCTTTGTAATGTGTTTTCTGCCTTCTAGAGTGTTTGAATTATAGTCTCTGTATATCCTTTAAACATCTTTCATAAAAATCACAAATAAAAAGTCACATACAATTTTTTAGTCTTTTCTTGCAGTATTTCATGAAAGTCCAGGCTTGTGTGCATTTTTTTTTGTAGTGTCAGATTCTAATCAACTACAGCATGATATGAACTGTCACTTTTTGTGAAAACTCATTATAATAGATTTGCTATTGCAGGCCTAGAGGGGTTTATCATTGACAAAAGACAAATATCACATGTTTAAATCATCCAGCTATCATGGTAATCACCAATGTTCATACTATTAATGCATGCAGGTGTTTTTGCCTTGAGTTGATATGAGTCACAGAAAGGAAAAGGCTAAGGTTTTTTAAGGTTTTTTTAAAGAACCATTTCTTTCAGCTTCTCAGGAGTTACTCTTGTGGTTTCACTCCTTAAAAGTGTAGGGCTGGGCTGGACAGGGTGATGCACATGTGTCCAAAGTCCCCGCACTTTGGAAGCTCATGCAGGGGGGTTTCAAGTTCAAGCCTAGCTTGGGTAACTTAGATCCTGTCTCAAAAAAAAATTAAGAAAAGATTTTTAAAAGGGCTGAAGGTTTACCTTAGTGGTAAGTGTATCTCTGGATTTGATCCCTTATACTACAAAAATAAATAATTTAAAAAAATGTGTGGCTCTCAGTGGAGCAAAAGTCAAACTATACCATCCACTATTTACTTCTGGCCCCATGAACTTCATTTCCCTCTAAATGTGGCTTCAACCTACATCCTCCAATTGGAAATCAAACCAAACTTCACCTTCATACTTTCAGGGACAAATGACATCAACGTCATCACTTGTTTTTCAAATTAACAACATGGAAACTAGATAGACTTTTCTTATTCACATATCAACATTTTTTGTATCTGTTTTTCTCTATCAACTGCTAATAGTATATTACTACAATGTGTGGCAAATATGGGAAAAACTCTTACTATTAAAAACAATATGGTCTCTTAATTGTTTTCTGATTACAGGGTTTCCAGCAGCATTTGTTGTGGCCTGGGCAGTGGCACGAGCAACTCTGGCTGACACCAGGTGAATAAAAAACAGAAGAGGTGAAGAGAGAACCTCAGGTTTCGCAGGCTCAGACTTCCTGCTTGGAATCCACACTGGCTACTGTTTTTGGATGCCATTGTCCTTCAGGGACACCATGTGGGAAGTGGCCTTGATAACAATTCCAACCTCCAAGACATTACCAGCAAACTCCCTATCCCAAAGGACCTTGGTCAGAAAGACTCACAGACCAGGTTGAGTTGCTTGAGCTCCCTGGATATGAAATCAATTTAACATGCTGTGAGAAACAAAGGGAAAAGGATGAGTAAGGAAGCACATTACGGTATTGTGAGAGCAGGTAGAAGGACCACACTGCTTTAATACTGGACTAAGCAGTGTTCCTACTTCCTATCTTTTTCTCTGCCACATCAACCTCCCTCAGTTTTGGTGTGGTTTTGAGGGCTGGAGATAGACGCTTGCAGCAAGGGGAATCCTAGGTCACTTGCAGGGCCAGTGACACATGCTGGCTGATTTAGAGACAGAGGAGCAAGTGCATTGGCTATAGATGTACATTCTTTGCCTGCTGAGTAGCTCTAGGTTTTATTTTCATTTTTGGGCAAAGGACATATGAGAATAAGTTTTACCAATAACTAGCTGAATTAAGACCTCAAGAGTATTGAGCACTTCCTGTACATTGGCAACATTTAATGTCGTTTATCTGTTTAGTATATCATAAAAGTTTACCTTGTAGTTGTCTTGTATATGTTTAATACCTATATTTAAAACATGTGCTCTACATACTATCACTTATTTATATTTAATGCAAAGTATGAGTTCCATTCATTCCATTTATTTTCTTATCTTGTAATAGCAGAATTGGTAACATAATACAATTATCCACTGATTTGTACATTGTATACATGTTGTTAGCTTCTTGAAAGCTATATTAGTTACCTTTCCCATTTTTGGGACAAAATATCTGATACCTACACTATAAAGGAGGAGATATTTATTTGGCTCATGCTTTCAGAGAGTTCAGTCCATGGTAAGTGGGGTCCAAGGCAGAAATGGTACAGTGGAAGGGCCTGGAAGAAGAAAGCTGCTCAACCCCTGGCATCCAGAAAGCAGAGCAAGGGAACAGCACCAGAGTGGAAGAGGCCAGGGAGCAGATATAGCTCACAAGGTCAGGCTTCCATGGCCCATATAGACACACCTAGAAGTATGCAGTACTAATCCTCTAGGCAGTTCTCAAGCTAATCAAGTTGACTAGCCAGTGTAACAGGACTCTCTTTTTAAATTACAGTCAGTATACTTGTTTTGAATTACTAGGTTATTTCCTTCAGAAATTAGTTTGTCTGCTTTGCACTTAATGGAAAGAAAGATCTTATTCCATGAGCACCAAACTCTGTAAAGAACCCACCACTTGCTGTTCCAGAAAATCTGAACTCTGAGTCACTGACTTTAGGAGCAGCCTTCACCCTACTTCCCTACTTGCTTCAGTTTCCCATGATTAGTTTCCCTCAGTCCTGAAATTTATTGGCTTCAGATTTTCACTTGTTTATATCCCTTTGTGCTATTTGGAATCATTAACAATTGACAAATTGGGTTAATATTTTCTACATTGTTTTTATTATTGTTAAATTTACACAGTGATGTTGAAAACCTCAGAAAAAACTTGTAGCATCTGCTATTTGATTTCTAGGGAAAGGAAGTTGAGTTATTAAGTAAGAACTAATTAATGCTGGAATAATCACATTCTGAGATATGTAACAGTATAAGATTTTTAGAGTCTGTAGGACATCAGGTATTTTCTGATCTGATGTCATCATTTTAGAGATAGATAAAATGATACCTAGAGAGAGCAGGACACATTCTCAAAGTTTATAGCCATCTTGGAACAAAATTTTGACTCTCCTTCATCATTTGAACACATTCTAGGTCTTGAGAATAGAAAGAAAGTAAATACATTCACAGTGTACTTTATATTGAACTAGATGGTTTTCTTAATTATCTTGCTTTCTTAAAGATTATAAACTAAATCTTAAAATACTAATATTTGTAGGTCTTTACACTGCAAAAAATAAATGTAAGTTTATTATTTTTGATGGGAAACACCCATTGAGTGCATAGTATGTATATAACTGATGATAAATATTGTTCTAAAATAGTTGAACTAAAGTAAAACAATTAAATATATATTATATTCTGTGACTCAACCATACAAAACTTTCATTTTTCCCCTTTCTTATGTAGAATAAAATTTAGAATTGTACAGTGTCTTATTAGAAGATTAGAGAGTCATTTTAGATTCAATTTTACATATACACTAAGCTACATTACTATTTATCTGGCATGATTTCAAAACTGCCTGTTTCAATTTCTCACGAGACTCATAGACAGAAAGTTTTTGCGGTTTTTCTTGAATAGGATTTGGCATATATAAAGAGCCACGTCACAAAGTTTGGTAAGAGAGAAGACTTCATGTATTTCCAAAAGAAAAATAGGGCTTATAGTCATGATTCTTACATTTGAGATTCAATTTTTGTTTTGGTATTTCAAAGATAGAACTCTGATTTTTTTTCTGCATCTTGGCCATTTAGAGCTATACAGAGTAGACAGAAGTTTAAAAATACTTCATGAATGGGGTATGGGTATGAGCAAAATGTATTCTATGTATTGAGGCCCCTGTCCTATGTGAAACCAGAGGAGATGGCAGAGCTAAGGGAGGGATGGAGGGGGATTGAAAATGATCAAAATATGTTAAAAACACTCTACTGGAAATGATTGGAATTACAATGAAAGTCTCTTCCAGTTCTAAAATTCTATCAAGCATTATTCAACTGAGGGAGGCTAGGATGATTTAATAAATTAGAATGAACAAAGTTTTGCAGTGAGTAATTTTGAGTTTTTATTTACAAAAGCAACATCTTACAAGATAACCTATTCCCTTCTCCTTAGCTCTTTCAAAGAAGGTAAGAGATGCCAACAACTGGGGTTATCCGTAACTTTTTTGCTATATTTTTGTTTCACCATTCAGAAGGACAGGTGGGGTCATGAAAAGATGCTCTCTAAGATTCCTAGGACTCTGTGTGGGCTCTTGGGCCAGGCCTCTCTGGTCAAGGAAATTAAAGGACCCCTCTGCCACACAGCACATTTCCAAATCTAATGTAGGAAGTTCTGTTTTCTAGTCAGACCTTTGTGCCTTATGTCTTAGCATTCAGAAATGCATTTCCTAGAATGTTAAAAAATCTATTTAAAAAATTTGAATGGAAGGTAGGTTCTGGGTCATGCTAATAAAGAATGTGAAATAAAACAAAAGATTAATAAATTCATTAAAACAAAAGATTCATAAATTAAAACACAGATTCATAAATTCATACCACTTAAAAATGTTTTAAATCTCCATTGCACCTCTTATATCAAAAGGCTAATTGAAACTTTGATGACCAAAATTGTTAAAATCAAGTTTTTCATGTTTTTAGAAGTGGCTGATTTTGACCTACTTCCGAGTGAAAGTATTTTATAGAGCTAGAATTTTAAATAGAATTTTAAATTGAATCCCAGTGTGTTAGGAGATACCATGATGAAATGTCATCAAGACAAAGAAAGAAGACTGTGAAAATATTATTAAATGTCAAAAACTGAAAAGTTTGTAGAATCTAAAATCATTGTAGCTAGTGAATCAATATTTATTTTGAATTCTTACAGTACATTTGCCACTTTCCTTATTGAAGAAAAATTTTTATGGTACTATGATATATGCTCTGTGCAACCCAATTTTGATGTCTTTTGTATTTCTTATCTGGTTGAATTATGTAAAAAGTAGATGCCTTTATATGAAGTTAGGAAATGTTCAACAACGTGCAAGTGTGACCTTAGATTAGTGTGACCTGTGTCTTAGATTTACATGTTATTTAGACTTCCAGTTCATTGACTGAGCAGATTTCAGATGGGCTAGAGTGGAGTTAGACTTTGGTGTAGGAGTCTGGTTGACTTCTGTGGTACAGCTTCACAATGGAATGCTGTGAGATGGAGCTCTCTTGGCATTGATAAGGGAAAAATTTGAAAAATACACTTTAAAGGATAAAACAAATCACCAACAGAGAATATGTTACTTTTTTTTTTTTGCAGACATGGATGTTTGCTTTCTATTACTGTGACAAAATACCCAAGATAATCAGTTAAAAAGGAGGAAAGCCTTTAGTTTGAGTCACGTTTTCAGTCCATGGTTGCTTGACCCTGTTGCTTTAGCCCTATGGGAGCATGGTACATCATGGGGAGTGTGAGTGGCAGAAGAGACAACTTACCTCATGTCAATTGAAAGGAAAAAGAAAGAGAGGAAGTACCAGGGTCCCAATATATCTCTCAAGGGCACATCCCCCAACCACCCAAGTTTCTTTCACTTAGATTTTCCATTCTAAAGGGTCTACCACTCCCAAAAAGTACCACAGGCCAGGGACCAAGTTTCAACACATGGGTCTTCAGGGAATGTTTTAAATCCAAACTAGTAATAGGGGAAAATAAGAATGTAACATTTGTATTTGTATTTCATAAAGAATCACTGGAAGCTAATACCGTAAGGTAGGTAACAGAAGATGTTATCTATGAGGAGCAGGGTATGGCAAAGGTAGACAGGAGCATGGGGGAAGGTTGAGACATCTCAGTATCTTTTTATATAGTTTGATTTTTGAGATGAGAATACATCACCTATATAAAAATGTTAAAATTTAAAAATATGTAGTTGAAATTAAATAACACACTCCTGAACAACCAGTGGATCATAGATGAAATTAAAGAAGAAATTAGATAGTTTCTACAATTAAACTATAATGACAGTACAACATACTGAAACTTATGGGACACAATAAAAGCAGTCTTACAAAGGAAATTTATAACTCTGAACACCCATATCAGGAAATAGAGTGGGTTCCCATAAACAACCTTATGTTGAATCTCAAGCTTCTAGAAAAAAAAGAGCAAGTCAAGCCCAAAGCTTGTACAAGGGAGGAAATTATAAAAATCAGAGCAGAAATTAAAGCAAT